CCCCAAAACCCCAAAACCCCAAAACCCCAAAACCCCATTAAGGTGTTATGATCTTATTGAAGTTAAATATATAAGTTTAAATAAATCAATGGGAATTTATCAAAAATTTGAGATCCAAGGTTGTATTTTTCATCAGGTAATTTAACTCTTCAACGAAAATAGTATAACGTTCGGGTTGTGACAATTGCAAATCATTCATATGAAGCTAATGGTTATTGGACTATTTGAGATATATTTTCCAGAGTTCATTGATGAGGGACTCTGAAAAGAAATTTGCGATTTTTTGCCTATTGTTAGCTGAGAATATATTTCTAAAGGAATCTGCTAATTAATCTAGCCATTTATCCAAGTATTTTTAGTGCAGTTTATTCAATTCATTACTTTTTGTTGAGAAGATAAGGATGATAAAAGAGACTATAGATTTCTCATCTCTGATATAACTCTTATCAAGATTTATTATTTTCATCATTTCAACAATTTTCAAGAGTACACGATCTTTACTCCAATAGTGATACCCAACACCAAGGTTAGACTTTTTAACGAGAGACTGAAAATGTTTTCTAAATTTTCTCAAGATTGGCTTCCAAATGGCATCTACTTTAATTCTCTAGGGTTTCTTATCTACATCAGAATTAATGCTAAAATTAGTTGCAATTTAACTCACATTAAGCTACTTTTGATAATTTTAATCGGAAATTAATTACTGATCTAATTCTAATTTTGAACTGATTTAACTTGAACAAATTGGCAAATTGCAAACTCGCTCTGGTGCTTCATTATTTTACTTATTAGTATATTAAACTGATTAATTTATGCAGTGACAAGTACTCTTAACTTCTGGAAATTAGCAATTATATCGGTTGACGTAGTTAAAGTCATGAATTAGCAAAGGAACTGATTTATCAATCAAGTTTTAACTTAATAATCCTAGAATGTTGGTTTATTTAAACTCTCCATATTCAGTGATGTGGACTGGCTCATCATGATCATCAGATGTTGAAGATAAAAAATTTTACTCATTAAACTTATCAAAGGAGTTTTGTTGGAAAGAGTTTAGTGAATCTTATGTGATTGATTGAAGACCATGTTCCCTAAATTATGTTGCCAACTTACAAATTTAAATTTTTGGATTTAATGTAATCTAATCATAAATTTCATTGCTCAATGATGCTAGAGTTGTTTCATCTAATACTTCATGAGTAGATCTCAGAAAGAATTCAACATTAACACAGTTTTGGTAACTTAAGTCCTCAAGAATTGATTAATTATTTGTCTACTGCTGAGTGATGCTGTCAGAATCAATTTTCAGATCAAATTGTGCTTTCTTGCTTGGAATTTACATTATTATTCAAATAAAGACTAGAGATATTAATTTATTAACATTAGGTTAATAGAAAGTTAAAATAAGTATCATTAAAGCTATAAGCAATAATAAAAGTATTTGTTGGCATAGTTGGTTAGTTTGAAATAACTTCATGTCATCATTAAGTGAGCTTTAAGGCTCATAAAAAACTTATATAGATCTTTCTTATTCCAAAGTAAAAAGGGTAAAAGCTTACAAATTGAGCAATTTGGAAATATTTAAACACTCTTCTAGTAGAGAGTTATTATTTGTTCATGTCTCTACTAAAGTATTAAAATTATTTTGTAATCCTTTAGAGAGCTTTCTGTTTGCTTTTAAAATTGATACTCTGATAAAATTTGGTTGAGCCTCAAGAACCCCCTGATGCTACTTTTTGTTGGTTTTCTATAATTAAGCTGATAAATTTTAATCATCAAAGAAAGTTTGCTGATTACTATTTGCAATTGAACTGCCAGTTCCTTCATAAAGATTTGATAGTTTATCAGGGAACATGCTTCTCTATTCATGATATTTATATAGATTTGACATTTTGGGCAGCTTAATTTGATTCATTGATATATCAGGACTGCTTAGATTAAGAGATCGGTGGTCAAATGTTCCAACAGATTTATCAGCAAATTTAGTTGCATTATCTTCATGTAAATATGAAGGCAATATTTATTGCTGAGAATGATATTCTTAGTCCAAATAAAATTAGTGGCAGCTACTCATACTGCTAGAGACCAGTTATTCGTTACTCTTTTTAGATAATTGCAATTTAGAGAGGCTCTGCTATCTTGATAGTTGAATGTATGGATTGTAAGCTTTACTCTTTTTTTGAGTTAACTTGCTAGTAGAGTACTAATTTTAATTCTAAGGTTTTAATCTTTGATTGAAAATATCAAAACTTGAGTTAAAACCTCCGCTTAGCACAATTGACTGTGACAGCTTCATTGGACTCGCTGAATGAGTAATATTCTAAGAATTGTAAATTTCCTGGCTCTAGTAGTCATCTATAATTTGTTGAAAGCTGGTTTGGTTATTATGAATAAATGACCCAGATCTCTCTTTAAACCTACCCCCATGTATTATTAAATTTTAATTCAACTCTGATGTTGAATCAGTGTTACTCACTAGTATATCTTTACTAATCAAACACTTAGTATCTCTAGTTTCAAGTAAGCTTGGCCTTTTTTCTCTGCAATATTTGCCTATTATAGTTTTTAAGACTCCTTATTCTTATTCTAAAGAAATTCTGCTCTAATTAATAGATTCAGCTAAGTTCTTTATACTTTTTTAAGGAGATAGTCTATTTAAATCTTCATGATTAAAAGTTTGATTAGTTACTGTTTGGTCATTTGCTTAGGTAAATGAAATCATTCTAATCATGCTTTTATCATCGAATTAGGTATTTACTTGATCTTTTATAGCATTAATTTACCGTTTTAATGATTTTAGTCCAAGTTTATATCTCTTAGTTAATTGATTCTATATGCTCAGTGATCTTTGATTTAAATCTTTATCCTTATCGATTCTACCATAGATCTAATTTGGATTTACTTCAATACTTTTCTAATTATGATTTCATATTCGCTGTTATAACTTTGTGAATAACGATTTATGTGAATCAAAGTTGCTTTTTAAAGGACTATTTTTCAACATTAATTCTTGATTTTCGATATCAACAATACTTTGTGAAAATCCTCTATCCCTAATCACAGGAAAATGTTATCTGCTTTTAGATAATAGTTAAGAGAATACTTGCTGCTTATCTAATTTTTATCTCAGTTTAACCAGAGATTGATCTTTCGCTAAAGTCAAATTTATTTAAGAACTAGAACATGAATTGAGTTACTCTTCAGCACTATTGTTAATTTAAAATTCTCCAACTTCTTATCTACCTTAGGCTAAACGATTTAGTCTCTCGGGTGATTGCAAGAGGTTTGAATTACTATGCTTTTTCAATAGAATGGGAACGAAATCAATTTACTTGACTGCAACATCTTTCGTTACTTGCTACTTTTTTATTTAACTTTAACTCTAATAGACCCTCTATTGATTCTCTATCTCCATCATTGATTTCTATTATTTTTCTGCAAAGGATTAAATTTTCTATTTTTTTATAGTTATATCTGGAGTTGACTGCTGTGGTTTTTAGTCTACAAGAGGAAGCTTATTAACATTTTTATCCGATGCTAACTTATAGGCACTACCCTTTTTACAAAAATTTAGGTCATCTTATTAGCTAGTAGTATTCTCAACAATTATTTTACTCAAGCTAGATTTATCTTGCTATTTTAATTTTTTATCCTGAATTGGAATATAGTCATCCATGTCAAACAAATACTCAATATCTATATTGTAGGAAAGTTCTGTCATTCTTGAGTTGTTTCAAGGATTAATTTTCTCTTTCGATATTCTAAACCTATTTTTAATCTTGGACATGCTTTTTTAGTTGACGTAATTTATAAAATAATAGGATTTATTAAGCTTGATTAATTACTCGAAATCAATAATAATACTACTAACCCTTTAACTATCTATGACTCTCTTTAATTTTTTTAACTTCTATATCTCCACAATATGACATCCATGGGGTTTTGGGGTTTTGGGGTTTTGGGG